TACCAGAATAAATTCCAACTACAAACACTTCACTTACGAAAGGCTCCATAATATGGCCAAGAATTGGCCGTAAATCACACTTACTTTTCCATCAATAGCTAAGTAAATTAATATCTTAGTTCCTACAATAGGCATGGGAGATCGAATTATCTGCTTACTTAAATTTTTAAGTAAATTTTTTTGCCGTTACCTTTGTCCGATTGCTTTTCCTTCACCTAGTAGGTCGGGGGCAACGCGCCTATAGGTGACTATTTTTAGTCGGTCTTGGTAATCGACGATAATGCCGGTTTACGCTTGGCACTAGATCCCTCTACTTCGCGAACGACCCCTTTACACGTTTAACCCCCATTGACTCGTAGTAAGGTGAAGTCTGAAGTCTTCTATTAGTACAAAACTTTACTAAAAACACCAAAAACGGGAGAAGTTTGTACAAGCGAGCCCACTGTTTATTACGCAGCCTCTGGGTCTGTACGCGTAGATGATCCAGCTTTGGCGTCCAGAGGCCAGTAGTACTTAAAGAACTTGTAAGTGTACTTACTACTTGTCTTATTCTTCTTTTCTTTCGCAGTATGCTGAGAGTATGTGTCGAACATTGCCTTTCGCCTCCTACGTATAGCTCTGTCTAGATCCGAGCGCTTGTACTTGCTGTCCGAGTTCCAAATATCGAAGAGGTCTAAGCATATACAGTCAAGTAGTTAATAGGAGGCATACCCACTATGACATCGTGAAGCTTGGACTTGTAAATAGCCAGTTTTTCATCTTGGCCTTTGTAGTTACTGAAGACGCTTATTTCGTCTTCGAAAACCAACGAAAATATTCTTTTGGCAAACTCCTCGATGGTTTTGCCACCGAGGCAGGTGAGGTATGAAATCTAATGCAAGCATTCATAATTAAATGTGCAGCTTACAAGCTCCTTTCTAAAATTGTCGTCTAACAGCATGTTGTTAAGCTGACGGAAGTCCGCGCTGACTTCAAGGGCTGAGTGATAGGATTCTGCCGTAGGGTAGCATTGGGCTCTGCATTAACTGTGGGCGGCTGAGGAATCGGCCCCTCAAGTTGCCGCAGGCTAGTCAGTCCTCTGCGCTGCCCTTCATCAACTTTGTT